GTGGTTGAGCATCGCCCCATGCACCAAGAGGTCGCCAGTTTGGGCACATGCCCAGGTTGTGAGCCAAATCCCAAGTGGGGGGCATGCTGGAGGCAGCCAAGCGATGTTCTCTCTTATCAATGTTTCTATCTCTCTCTTCCTCTCCCTCTCTCTCTAAAATCAATAAAGAAAAAAAAATTATTTTAAGAAAAAAATACCTACACTGGCCAGTTGCTCAGTGGTGAGAGCATCAGCCTGCAAACCAGAGAGTCCCGGGTTATGTCGCTAAAGGCACGTTCCTCGGTTGCGGTTCATCCCCAGCCCCAGTTGGGGTTGTACGGGTGGCAACCAGTCGATGTGTGTCTCTCACGTCGATGTTTCTCTCTCTCTCTTCTGCCCTCTCTCCTTCCCGCTCTGTCTAAGATAAATGCAAAATTGTCCTCGGGCAAGGATAAAAAACAAAACCCCCCACAAAAAACCCTCCATAAATAAGCATCTATTTATAAGAATACAAAAGTTCTTTTATGGAGTAGTGAGTAAATAAAGTTTCTTAAAGCAAATTGTTAATTATTGAATAGTGTGGTATACTGTAACATAAACTGTGTTGGATGAGCACAAAATATCACCTACTACAATCATAAAATGTTGATACTCAAATGCAAATTGTTTTCAGTTTTCAAAATTCTAAAATCCTGTAAATGATATGGTTATACAGAAAAATAATGAAGAAAAATAAACTCGAGTTTTAAATGAATAAAAGTAAAGGAAACTTGGTGATGTAGTTAGAAGAAAGATCAAAGTATAATGAATTCGAAATTATGACTACAGCCAACTCTTCTACCTTAATGTCCATGTGCTACTAAAATATTAACAATAATTAGATCCCTAGAATTAATTTAATGAAACATAAAACATTTATTCATGTAGTAACTCAGCAGAACTCATATCCAGAGATGTTCCAACAAAAATGTTAGACAATGTTTTAAAAAATTCTTATTTAATACTATTAACAGAAAATGCCTTTGAAATGTGTGTATATATTTATACATATAAAACATATATTACATATATATCATTTTTACACACATAGTAGTTAAGAACTGGTAATTTGTACCATAACATATTCATCAAATAAAATTTAATTTGTTACCATCATAATCTTTTGCAAAATTCTGACATTTCTAGGTACCTTTAATACAGACAATTTTTACAATGCATAAGCAAAAATGAAATTCTGCAACATGTTTATGTAAAATATTTTTTTCACTTAAAGTTATAAAACTAAAGTAAATCATATGCTCAAATAAAAATGATTCAGAGATCCTTCTAGAATGAGAAAGATGGTATTATATTGAATATTAGACAAGGTAAGAACATATTCAAATGCTAATCATTTATTTTTCTTAGCAAGGGCTTCAATATGAAATCATTATCTTTTTTCATTGGCATATCTTGAGAACACTTGTTTGCACACTAAACTTTGTGGCAGGAAATTATTTCTAATAAATTTAAATGAAAGTACTTCAGTACAGACCTAGGTCAAACGTAAGAGAGTCAAGGTAATTATTTGGAGAACCAGAGCAGGATACCTTGCTACCCAGGAACTGAATAATGGTGATAGGTTTCGTTATTTCCAAGTGCTTAAACTTAACTAGTTTTACATCAACTAAATTTAACTGATTATACATTTCACTTATTACAGAATCTTAAGAAACAGCCTAATTCCAGTCAGGAATTTTGTCCACAGTATAGGCTACTCCTACACAGCCAGTCTCATCAGGCATGCTATAGGTGATAGGCTGACTATTAAACACCTAGAAAAACTGAATTTATATGGCACGATTTGGCTCAGCATCTGGAAAGAAATGGCTTGAGTCTTGATCAACAAGTTGTTGAACATTGTGCTCATCGACACAGACAACATTATGGTGATTACCAGAGGGACAGGGGGTGGCGGCTGGGGGGAGATACAAAAGGGTAAAGGGGGGATAAATGGTGATGGAAAGAGACTTGACTTGGAGTGGTGAACAATACAATATATAGATGATGTATTATAGAATTGTACACCTGAAACCTATATAATTTTATTAACCAATGTCAATCCAATAAATTCAGTAAAAATGCTAAAAAAAAAAAAGATTGTGCTCATCTAACTTCTCTGTATGGTTCTACAGTGAATAAACCAGATACCTAAAAATAAGTAAATTCCCTTTAACAACATGGCACCTACCAAAAAATCACTGCGTTTTAGCAGTCTAAACAAAGAAAAAAGCTACAAATATTCTAACATTTGGCAAAAGGAGGATGGTAGAAAATCTTAAATAGGTTTCATGGCACATAAACTTGGCTAACTTCACTATCGTAGCAGAAGTGAAATTGTAAACAGAATCACCATCTCCCTGGGAATGAAGCCGATGAGGATCTCTAGCACTATTGAGAGGGGAATCTAAATTGAATATAAATTTTGGTAACAGCCCTAGCTGGTTTGGTTCAGTGGTGGGAGCCTGCGGACCAGAGAGTTCCGGGTTCAGTTTCCGCTAGGGGTACGTACCAAAAAAAAAAAATTTTTTTTGGTAACAAATACAAAGTCACACTAGCAGATGTGTAATTAGGTAATATAATCTATCACATGAGCTTTGATTGAGTGCACCTAGGATTGTTCCAGGCAAAAGTTACCTTTTAATTTAACTTTTACACTCCTCCTGCTAAAAGTGAAATTTTCTTATAAAAGAGAACAACAAACAAACAAAAAACATCTTTAACAATAAAATCTTAAATATTAATGCATTTTTAAAAGTGTAAATTAATATGTACAATTGATCCTATGAACTGGTGGGGTGTTTTCAGTAGTTTCCCACTATTCCCAGTTGTTATAATTCAGTTATTTTATTTTTACTGTTAGTTTAATTTACCAATTAATATAATGGAAATCACGCGTCAAATTTATATAATGGATAACTTTAGGCGTAATGCCACTTCTTCACACTGTATATAGAAAAAAAATAAAAAATAAAACAATAAAATTTACCCTGTTAATGTTTGCACCTGTATTTATATGACCTGGAATAATCAATTCAGTTAACTCAGTAACAGCACTAATAAATCTAGTTAACACATTTCCAGTTGGTTTTTATCTCATAAATAAGCCAGAAATCAGTGTGAAGGTAAACAGAAATGCCTGGAGAAAATAAAGTAGAAGGATGGAGGCTGGAGGTGTGGTATGCTATCATGAGGGTGGATGAAACAAACATGGGAAAATACTCTTTCTCCCCATTTTTCAGTTTTCCTAAGGCCCTGATAAGTGGCAAGTACTTCCCTTTCCACTGCAAATGACTTACTAGGTGGCCTTTCTCAGGAGCATTATAAAGTACCGGTGCCTATTAAAATGCTTTTTATTTTATGGTAAAGATACAGTTAATTCTACATCTAGAACATTTTATAATTCCTTTGTAAAACTGGGAGGAAATTAGGAAATCACTTAATCTAACTAACCACTTATTTTATTGATAGGGGAACTGAGGTCCAAAGAGGGTATGATTTACTTTACTTACTTTATAATCTACATAAATATACTGTGACTAAAAGGTTTAGACATGCTGTACTTATTGTTATGAAAACCAAGAGACAAATACACAAAGATATAATTCGAAAGCACAAAGAAAAGGTTACAAAGCAGGAATTCTCCACTGAGAACAGCGAGTGATCAGTTTTGTTGTTAGTAAGAATTAGTGAAGAGCTTCAAGGAATGGATTAGGGAAAAGATACTCAATGATGAAGATGTAAATACATGTAATCATTACAAACAAAAAGTATGCACAAAGTAAGTACTTTCCAAGTATATATCTTGAAAATCCATAAAATGAAAAATGTTAAGTTTCTCACATTACTATCTAGCAAATTTGTTTCTACCTCTATTTCATTATAAGAACAAAATATTTGGTAAGTTGATAAAAAAAAAGGGGGTGCTTGTGCTTACTTCAAATCCCTAGGTTCCCTTTACATGAAACATCTAGAAAATCAATTGCATTGATACTTTAGCTAGGCAGTTCTAAATGCTTACAATCTTTTATATGTGTAGTTGAGGTGAAAATAGAAAGCTCAGGTTACAGAGCTTGATGACACTGAATTCTACAGTTTTCTATGACAAATTCTGTGACATCATTTCACTACTTTAAAATATGTGTCAAAGTAAATGTATTTATTACATTTTAAAAACTTGAAAACTCAAATATGTATGTTCCTAAGAAACTGCTGGCTTGTAGCAATGATCAGAGCCAAAGAGATCTTTTTCATTGGCATTACCTAGATCACTGCTTCCCACATGGGTCTCCCTGGTTCAATGTAAAATGGCTTTACATATGGCACATGGGTGAACACCTTCAATTTACTTTGAAAGAATGGATTTTAATATACTTTAGAAAAAGATACATGCAGTTTTCTACTTTAAAAGCGAATCAACTAAAAAATATATTAAGTAAATAGTAGTGGATGTGACATGTGAATATGGCCAAATTTAAATGTCTAAGGGTTGGGAAATGCTGCCCTTCACAAAGTAACGTCTCTGGAAATGAACTAGTATAAATATTACTGGTGAAAGATGTGAACTTTCCAAACTAAATTATATTTAACTCTGTATACTACTTCTTGGTTTTTATCTCATAAAGAAGCCAGTGTCAATCAACATAATATAAAAGTAAGTTCTTTTGGCAGAAACTTAAAGTATTTTACTGAATGTCATTGAAGAAAGCCTATTAAAATGAGCACTGATGAGTGAGAATTCCCTCTTTTATCTCCCACTATTAATGAAAACTTCCAAATTCACATAATTGTGGGGTGTGTACCAGTAACATTCTGCATAATGCTACACATACTACATTCTGGATAATATTGCAATACTAAAACTCAACACTTTCTTGTCCCAACCCAGTCTGTGTTGTGACCCCACCTACCCCCTATACTGGAAAATGTCAGTAGTGGCCACCAGGAAGCTAAATTAAACAAATGAAAACTCAAATACTTACTGTCGCTGGAGAGGCCCGAGTGGTGTGTGTCACTGAGTGACTAGAATTCTCCATTGAATTGCCAATCAGATAGGTTCCTCCAGAGCTGCTGATAAGTTGTCCTCCGGTGACGCCCATCTGAATCCCACCAGTGCCCACCATACTGTGGGATGAGACCACGGTAGTCACCTGTGCAGAACTCCCTTGAGTGTCAAAGTAACTCCCTCCGGTGTTTTGGCTGTACATCTGCGTTTCTGTGTAAGGATAAGTTGTTGTTCGGCTTTAGAAGAAGAAGAAAAAAGAAATTTACTAGCTTATTTATATCATCTTATTTGTTTCTAATGTGTATCTATGTGTAAAATATATCAGTTAGCTTAGCCTTTGGAACAAGGCAAGTTTTATATTTTGTATGAAACTTCATTTCCAGAAGTAGTTGTATTTACCTTCCAACTTAAAGGTACATTCCTTTATTAAGTACCTCAACACTTCTCTGTACTTTAGAGCTCTTGCCCTGTATTGGTGTCTACCTCCAACACATACAGTCTACCTCCAAAAAGTCTTGCTGAGTGACTTCTTCAAATCCTTATAAAACTTCCTGTAAAACCCAGTTTTAGAAAAGCTGGGATCTGGCATGACTTGGGGCTGATAAGTCAACTCCCCATGCTACTCACATTCCTGAGTGACTTGCAGTAAAATCCTCCATGACTAAGGAAGCTGCCATGGATGTCTTTCTTGGATCTTGAGCAGTTTACTCACCTTGCATCCTAAATCCATATCTATATGTCTCTCTTCCTCTATCCTCAAGATTCTCCTTGATGAATGACTATGCCAGCTCTTCATGCCCTCCCCCACTGTCCACTTCCCAACAACTGAATAAAGCTTCTGCCCATAGTCTTTCATTGAAATTGCTTTTCATAAGGTCACTTGTGACCAAATCTAAATACCAAGATATAAGGCTTCTGTCAGTTCTTATCTTTTTTGACCTAACTGCAATACAACATTGTTGACTACTCCCTTCTGCCCTTCCCCTCCTTTCTGTTCTGATTACACTTGCTTCACTGATTTTTCATGTTCAATTGATTATATTTTAACATGACTTTTGTTTTCACTTTTTTTTTTCTTTTTTTTATCCTCACCCGAGGATATTTTTCCATTTTTTGTACAGACAGAATGGGAGGGAGAGAGAGGAAGGGAGAGAGAGAGAGAATCATCGACGTGAAGGGACACATCGAGTGGCTGCCACCCGCACGACCAACCAGGGCCGGGGACAAACTGTAACCGAAGTACGTGCCCTTAGCGGGAACCGAACCCGGGTCTCTCCGGACCGCAGGCCAACGCTCCAACCACTGAGCCAAACTGGCCAGGGCTGTTTTCACTTTTTATTTTAAAATAAGTATATGCTCATTTGCTCATAAGAAGTTGCAAAATATTAGTACAGAGAAGTATAAAATACTTTTTAGTAAAATTCAAATATTAAATTAAAGGTTAATGTTTTTATTTTTGTCATTCCTTCAACCCATATCTGAGAGCTAGCCACTACCGACAATTTAATGTGTACATTTTCAAAATATACACAAGGTCTTGTTCTCTCTTAACCTCTCCGGTTCCTTAGTTTCTATGTCATTTCTTTTCTACTTTTTACTTTTCTACCACTACCTTTCAAGAACATTTCAAAGTTTCATTTTTTTAGTACTTTAAACATCGATATTTCTTGAGGTCTCCATGTTTAGCTCTTATTTTTTCTCATTTTATTCAGACCACGTGCCTTTACCATATACTATACAAGAGAAATTCCTTCTCTCTCTCGTTCTTTTTCCTATATTCTCCTTCTCAACAGAGTGCAGCACCACCATCCTCAGTTTTAGAATTACTGCTCTTTCCTCACTCAGACTGACATCAGTCACTAAGGCCTACAAATTTTACCTTCTAAATAATTCTCCAATTCTCCTTTCCATTCTTGTACTCAATGCATTAACTCATAATAGTCTGCATTATAATTGCCTTCTAATAGGTTTTCCTTCCTCTAATTGGGCTCTCTTCCAATATATCTTCAACTGTGCTGCCAGGGGAATTTTTCTAAAAGGCAAATACAAAAATAAAACTTTTCTTGAAAACCTTTACATGATTCTTTCTTCAAAAGGAATTCAGAACCCTTGACTGACCTTACAAGAGAGCAGGGCTGGTGCCTACATAATCTTCAGTCTGGTACTAGCCGTGCCCTCAAATGCTTTTTTCCCTCACACTACACCGGCCTCTTTGCTGGTCCCCCAAAGTGCCACTTTCTCTTGCTTTCCTGCTTTGTTGCACATGATTGCCTCTGCCTGGAAGGCCTTTATGTTTTCCTTTAACGCCCTTCCTTTGTCCTCATCATTCATAAACTCTCAGCTGAAGCATCACCTTATCTCCAAATTATTCTTCTGTACCCCTTGCCCTCTGTGGTCACTCCTCACAGGGCTGTTCTCTGTATTTTCCTACTGCATACCCTGTGCATACCTGAAATATAACTCTCAATATACTTATTATTAAATTCCTCATGTCTTCATACTCCCATGAAATTATGTTTTATTCCCATCTGTCAATACTTAACATAGTTGCTGGTACACTGTGGGCACACTAATCAATAGATAAAAACATGATGCAGTTTCATAAATTAATGAAACATAAATCCTTTTTTGTTTTGTTAAAACAGAAATTACGCTAAACTATTTAAAGATTTGTCTTTAGCATTTAAAACAGGCCATCTGACCTCATTAGAAATTACACTGTAATATAATTTATAAAATAATAATAGTGTTCTGAAAGTATTCCACAATGAGTCAAGTTAATGCATTGCAAGAGCAGCCACCATAGCAGAACTGGGCACAAATTTTAGTTTGGGGTGATGATAGAAACAACCACATAGAGAACATTTTTTAAATAGAGAAAAATGCCATTTAAAATACGTGTGCTGTTCTTCTCCATCATTGCTCTATTTTCTGATTGGAAGTCTCATCTATATATTACATACTAAAAATAAAACAGTCATACTGATTTCAAATTTAGGAAAAAAGACAAATGAGGTCATTTTAATTCATGTCCACTGCACATGACATTGACCATATTTGACTACTTAAAATAACACAATCTGATGTTGATATTTAAGTATAGCCAAATGAGGTATACAAACAGATACAGGACAATAAATACTTTGACAGATACAAGACATGGTGTCAGCTTTCATTTTCATAGTCTCAGCAAAATGCTCAAGCGTGCTCCCTAGTAATAAGTTGATTTCACAAATAAAACATCAAATAATCACAAATGATAGCTAAAATACTGACCATTTACTATGCAATAGGAACTATTCTACCTGCTTCAGGTATTGGCTCACTTAATCTTCATTTCAACTCTATGAGATAGGTACTATTATAATTCCTATTTCACAGACAAGGTGAATAGATTGAGTAGCTTTGTCCAAAGCAAAGAGCTGGTAAAAAATGGATTTGGAGTCTGCACTGAGCTCATACTCACAACCATTTTTTCACACACACACAAAAAACATTATTTTATGTATGTCAATGATAGTTGTGAATGACTACTGGGCAATAGCTTTACTAGGTGGTACAGGGCATTATGAATTTTCTGCTGCTGTTCGAGATTTCCTTACACCTTAGTTCACTATTTACTGGCCCCACATACTCTCCTCTCTTACCCAGAACAGGATTCATAGATGTACTTGCAGTGTTAAAGAAAAAGAAAAGGCAGAAATTTTTCAGAGGATACTTACCATCACTCACTTGGAATTTATAAGTTCTATGATCATGGAAGTTGCTACTCTATCAAAGAGAAACATTTCAAGGAATTTATATACTCCATCATTGGGTCATGCCTCCTTTATATAATTAGTTCTCAGTGAACACATCAGTAATGCAAACAAATGCATCACTGGCATATAAAATCTATATCTATAGTCCTGAAGTCAGTTAAAATATGGCAGCAAAATAAAATGCAACCTGCTCTTATTTTCATAGTTCTCTCTAGTTGGAGATGATTCAAGAGCTAGAAAATGAGCAAAGAACAAGACAAGGGTAAAAGTCACTAAAGAGTACTTCTGTCTAATCCATAAACTATCCTCGTTACTGAACATGACCCATGGGACGGAGATGGCTTGGCTACTGCATAAACATGCCCTGGGGTAAAGACTGGCAATTTCTAGGGGAGGAAAAAAGGACAATTTTATTAGGAAACAAAATCTCTGACAAACAATGTACATTTGCAGTGAGAAATAGAGGAGCTTTTAAACACTGGATTGGGTAATAGAGGCAGACCATAATATCCTTAGTCATAGTTCTTTAAAGGTAAAAAGATACGCATTAACCTATTTGTTGGAGTACTATCTGGAGCCTGAGCCAGAGTTATGCACAAGTAACTCCTAAAGGTCTTTCCATGGTCTAAATGCTCTAAACTCCTGAATAAATACTGAAGAATTTATGTAAAAAAAAGAAGTACCAACAGCAAAAACAGCAGTTCTTTCTTAGGTACTAGAAAAGATGATTATTTAAATCCGATACCTCAGATTAGCTTATCTTTCATATTGTATCATGAATACATATAAGTTATTACCTGCACACTATCTCCCCCAGAAATTTCAAAAATACAGGGTGGGGCAAAGTAGCTTTACAGTTGTTCATACGGAAAATAATACAATAATGAACAAATAACAATACAAGAATAAACTGTTCCGCATACTCACAACTGTAAATCTACTTTTGTGTTTACCCTGTGTATGTTGGAGGAAATAACTCAATATCTAGCATATCTGACTGAAAGCAGCTATTTTTAGATTGTACATTCCGGAAACAGCTAAATTGCTAAGCAGTTCTGTTCACATTTAAAAGATGCTACTCTGTTTCTTTTGTTTGCTACTTATTGATTGCCACAAACTGTTATGAAAATGATGTCATATTATTTCTATAATAGAAACCGTCCCATTGTTCTGCATGTGAATCCAGTGATGAATGAAAACACACAGATATGTGCATACTTGCTGACAGGAGCTTCTTCATAGCTGACTCTATAAGGTTCTACGTAAATGTCAGGACTCTGATCCACTGAATTCAGGAAATCATTGCTGTCTGTAACCCATCATGCCTCAGCATATACTTTGGCTAAGCATGATTCTGAATATTCCCTGCTTGCCTATTCACTGGGATTATTATGTCAATATACTTCAGCTATAACCAATTTTTCTGTTTTCTCTAACTTCACGTGTCTTATCCATAATTCCAGATATATAATATC